GGGGGGCCCCCGTGACAGGGAACCCCGGGGGGGGGCCCCGGAGGGGGGCCCCGGAGGAAAACCCTTGTGGAGCCGAGGGCCTGGCATTTTTCCGGGGGCAGGCGGCGCAGGGGCCTTCTCGACGAAGTGCTGCTTCTGCTCGAGCTGCGCTGCGTACTCGAGCCGGTGCAGCGGCGCCGCCGCGTCCGCCGCTGTCCGCGCGGCCGCTGCGCCGCCGGCCTCGCCGGCCTCGCCGCTGCCTCCTCGACCCCTCCCGCCCGCCTGCTGCGCGCACACCCTCTTGCCGCCTTGCCCCTCGCCGCCCTCCCTCTCGCGCTTGAGGTGCCTGTCCGGGTCGAGCGGCTTCGCCTGCGCCGTCGACAGCACGCTGCCCTTCCACTTGTGCCCGTTGATGCCCGAGTCCGCAGCCAGGCGCTCCTGTGCGGACTGGAAGTAGACGAACGCGTAGTCCTGGTTGGAAATCTTGCGCACCTTGCGCACGCCAGTCAGGCCAAGCCGCCGCTCCAGCAGATGCTTCACGTCCTTGACGGTCGCCCATTTGGAGAGGTTGTTGATCCGCATCTGTACCGCCGGGTCATTTGGGTCGGGCGGTGGCACCTTGTCGGCCGCCTCGGACCCCGCTACCCCACTGGGTGGAGCGTCCGTTGGGCACGGGCCGCTTGACGACGCGTCCTGCTGTCCCGTCGCCGCCTCGGCAGCCAGAGGTGCTGCCTCCGTTGCCGCCTGAGGTTGGTGCTCGGCAGCCTCCGGTTGCATTGGTAGGAGGAGCCAATGTGAACCATGTAGTGAGCTGTGAGCTGTACACGGAGCGAGGGTCTGTACCGAGGCATCCAGGGGCGATCACACCAAGATCACCATCGTCCTGATAGGGACAAAAGCTATCGTCCTGAAGGACCACGACGAGACGCCGTCCAGGACACATCCCTCTGGAACAAGGCATCTCGACTATCGGACAGTACTCAACAGGGACATCTCTCTATATACACGAGTGGGGTATTCACACTCCCAACACTCCCCCATTGTCTGCGCGGTCTTCAGATGCGGCAGACAACACAGCGGAGTGTGAAGCAAGTAATTGTCACGCTGATCAGAGGCGCGAGCTAGTGAACGTGGCATGTGACCTTCCGTCTCCCGGGCTCAAGCGGAAGGTAGTAGACTATCTGAGCGGTCGACTGGATGTCTTCAATTGAACAACATGGGTAGTAGAGCTTGGTCAGCCGCGCGCGGCGATCCGAGCTGAGCGCCGCGGGACGGCGGGATGAGCGGGCGCAGCTCGCGCGGCGGGCGGGGCGATGGGCGCGCCCCTTGGCGCCGCTGGTGCGGCGGGAGGCTCGGCGCGGACGATCGCCTCGGGGACTTGAGGGCGTTCTTGTTCGACGGCGCCGCGGATCTTGAAGGGTTGCCAGGCGCCGCCGAGGGTGGTGAAGGAGAACTCGTCGAAGATGACGTCGGCGGTAGAGATGATCCGCCGGACGGCGGGGATGTAGACGAGGTACTTGGAGCGCCGCGGGTCGTGGCCGAGGTTGATGCCCTTGAGACGAGTGGGGGCGAGGTCGTGCGCGCGGAGCGACTCGGGGAGGACGCAGGAGCAGTCGCAGAGCATTACCTTGAACTTCTCGAGGGCGTAGTTGCGAGGGTGGCCGCTGGCGACCTCGATAGGCGGAGACCCATCGTGGCTCAGCGCTGGAGCCCCTGTTCGTCTGCAAGAGGTTGTGGACGCGGGCGAACTGGCTGAACAGGTAGGGCCAGAACTGATTGTGCTCCCGATCTCCCCCAGCGTGGACGAGAGCGGTGCGCGTGCAGTGGAGGAGGGTCCCCCAGCAGCGCTCGGCGAGCGCGTTCCCCTCGTGGATGTCGGGGGAGGAGAAGAAGCGCTGGATGGAGAGGGTGATGCAGAACTCGTCGGTGAGCTCGGAGGTGAAATAACTGGCGTTGTCAGTCAACCACTCGTCGATCACGCCGGGGTTGCGCGTGTCGGTGAGGAGGTGAGCGTAGTCGCGGAGAAAGGCGCGGACGGCGCTGACGATCTCGGGGGAGCTGCCGTTCTCGAGGAAGTAGACGGCGATCACCCCAGAAAAGTAATCAACGAAGTTTATGGCGAACTTGAACTTGTGGATGCTGAACGGCAGAAGCTTGAAGGGGCCGCAGAGATCGGACGCGACTCGCTCGCAAAGTGGGTGTAGACTCGGCGA